GTTATTTATAGGATCGCACATTTGGCTATCCTTTGCTGTCTCTACCTTGTTTGATGAAGAATTTGAAGAATTTAAAAAATCCTCCGATTTGAAAACACACGTGTCTTCATCTTCATCGCCGCTGAAACCCGCATTAGTCCTTTCGCCGATATCGGAACTATCCTTCTCCGATTCGCAGCCATCTATGTTATCCCTCCGAATCGTACCAGGGCTATTTGCAAGCTCAGATTCATTTAACGGGCGCCGTGGTGTCAGCGGTGATGCGTCACTAACCAATAGCGCTATCTCAGCCCCAGACTCCTTAGCGCAGAAATTCTGCTTCTTTCCAACGCTATCGAAACTGAATCTCTTGGCCTTCTCCTTTGCCAGGGGACTGATCATTATTTTCTTCTCAGAAGAGCTGCTTCCATTTCGATTGGATAGCTGCAGCTCGCTGGATGATTGCGAGCGTCCTACTGGAGGGGGGCGGTTGATTGAGGAGGGCCCAAATGAACCGGGTCTGCGGGCTCCGAGGTCGACACTGAGAAGCTGTGTAAGCTGTCGAGACAGGCAAAATATGTCTAATGTCAACGTGCAAATTTTCTTCATTCGCTTCTGTGCTGTAAGGACGTTCGCGCTAATTGTTTCTGCGCATCCTTACTGCGCACGAAATTCATACACCACGTCATGCATCGAGCGCGCGCGCTAAGTAGTAAAATGAACAATAGTAGAACAAATGGCCACTGCTACAGCTTTGCGTGGATTTAACGATCTTGGACGTTCGGTAACCCCTATTTTTCTTTTGATGGGCCATTTTCTCTTATCAAAATCAGACTAGTTTTCCACAGGCTTTATCTCTGAAACGAAGTCGGTGACCCCCAATTTTTATTTCATTTCTGAAACAAGTATATCATTATCTGTCCGCAGTAGAACTTTAAAAAAATCCATCGAGTGGAAAATTTTCGCGCGAACGTCCTTAAACTCAGAAGAGATGGAAGAAGTTGGCATCAAGACAATGTTAATTATCGTGTCTAGCGGGGTCCCGGGGAGGGGAGAAGGGGTGTGTTTGATCGACTATGATTGACATAACCAGGAGAAATAATTTATTGAATTACAGCCGTATTCATGTGTTTCTTGGGAACGGAGATTTGAAGAGAGCTGAAGAGCCAGTGGGGAGGGGTTATCAAAAGAGTACAAAGTATTTAAGTAGAGAGTACGCGCCGAAAAGTAAATCTCCATTTCGGTTGCTATTTTGGTTGAAATACGAAAATCTTTTAATCGCTGTCTATGCGGAAAACATAAATTTTTTATGAATAATAGAAACACACTGATCTGAATGGCTCAGAACATCAAAATTGTTCGGGAAACATTTCCAACCTCACCTCTGGTTATTCAGTAAACTCTCCCTCTGACCGAACCCCTCCGAGGGAAATAGCTTTCCTTCAGATCGACTTAAGCTCTCGAATAATGTAACAAGCCAAAATTCCGTCAGTTTTTTCTGCTGCTTCCGAAATTAATAGTTTCGTACAAACAGTTGACATTCAAACGCAAATTAAACTGACCTCTCTAAGATCTTTGGAAATCTTCCTGTCCTCATTTTGTTTCCTTTGCAATCGAGGGGTGACATCGCACCACGCTGAATTCAAAATGCTGACTTCCCCTAATTGTTTCTTCAGTTCAGAATTTTCCTTCAACAAACGGGAAACCTTCTCAACCTCGTCGCTGGGCGCGTTCTTGATGTTCATCTCGACAATTTTCTTATTCAACTGCGCGTTTTCGCGTAACACTTTAGCTAGTTTACCAGCCTCAGAAATTCTGGCCTCCTGAAGCTTTCTGTGAAGGTCTTTGTTCTCCGCCTTAAGGACCAACAAGGGATCGGCCAGCTCCGAAAACATAGCCCCAAGATCGAGCGATCGTCGTTGCAAGTAAGGCCCGGAAAAAGAACTCGACCGCCGCCGGCGTCTCGGCTTTCGAACGCACAGTTCTTGATAGGTATGACACGTGACCGAACGTTTCCCAAGTTGCGGCCTCGGTGACGGCTTAGGAGCTGGTTGAGTGAAGGATTTTCCTTCCCTGCCATTCTCAACCGGGTCAGCAATCCTTACGGATAAATTCGATGTTGCGTTTTCTCCATGTTGGATCTTGATCGCTCGTATTTCATGCTTAAGCGTGGCTATCTCTTCCTGAAGTCTTGCGACCACGTTAGGATCATTCACGGACTGTGTGGATTCTACAGATCCATTGTTTGCTTCAGCGAAGCTTACTGTGGTATCGCGTGTGGTAGATAAAGAATTAATTCGCAACCGCTCCTGTACATTGCTCTTGAGCTTGATAATCTATGACAGAAATAAAAGCAAGATTATTAACAGAGCTCAATCGCGCTATGTACTATGAAAAGTGATTCATTCTGTACAAAGACTACATCGTATTTAACATCAGATAAACTTCCACTGAAATAAGTACATTTTGAAACTGTTGAGCAACACAGCAGAAATCACATGTAGGCAGCCGGGGGAACTCTTACGGATGTTAAAACTCCAAAAAAAAGTGTCACGTGGCAAAAAATCATAGAAAAGGAAATAAACATTTAATAACATGCTGAATTTGTAAATAATGCGGTGATAAATATTTGTCTGCTAATTAAAGCTCACCTGAGATCTGATAATTTTCTATGCTTTCTTATTGATGGTTTACAGCCAATTCTCCTCAGCTTGTTTAAAGTTTTCGTTATGAGTGTCTCCAACATGACGGCAATAACGTCACTTGCAAACTAAGAACACGAGCCGAGCCGCTCGCGCTTCTCCCCTCTTTTTTCGCTCGCCGTTTTTCGCGCTGCGCCCCAACTAACTAAACGCCTGGAAGAAGCTACTCAGGGAATTTACTATTTTCTGCTTCGCCTTGCCCTATCAAGGAATGGTTTTCCAAGACACCCGACCAATAACGGGGCTTGAACGGAGAAACGTGCACGCTGCTCCCCTACTATCCGACCCCTCCAGCCCAACCCCATCCCATAGGGTAATCCTCCGTAGGAAAAAAAAAAGATGGCGGCTGTACATCTTACCACAATACCATGTGAACCTTACACAGCCCATGAAGCACAAGTAAAGCTTTTTTTTGCTATATTTTTCCCTGTGCATGCTAGGTTTGAAGATTTTAGAACTTTTCTGTACGTTTTTATGGGGTTGTTAAAGTTCTCGTGGGCTAACAATTATGGGTAATGTTACCAGTCACCATCTTTTTTCCTAACGGAAAATTGTTTAACTGAAGAATCATGCACTCTTTTGTGTACTAACGCATGAATTCCTCTCACCTTTGGAACAAAGAGTAAACACAGCGTGACTGTTGTGGGAAGGAGCAGGAAAAACGACAGACATCCCACTAGAGCGTCCACATACCCATCGATCAGAAAGGCCAGCGGTATCCCCACTATGACGCACACTGCTATGCTATATATGGCCATGCACACAAAATGCGAGTCATTGAGGGAGTGGACTTTGACCTTACGCGTGACCCACGCGATGAAGCAGCCAATCACCAGCACGAGAACTTTGTAACCAAGCAGAATGTACAGCCACGTTGTATAATATTTGGAAGTACAACCTTGTTGCTGTGGAACGATCCTTAAATGAGATTCTTCTCTAACCTAACGGAAAATAAAATTAGGGAGTCAATCTTGAAGTTTAAGTAACGAAGAAACTTGCAGTTGCAAACAAGCAATTGATGCATGCAAAGAAATTGGCAAAAAAAATCCCCAGGTTTCGTAATCAGAGGCGAAGATTTCCATTTCCAGTTAAGCTCTATATCGTGTAACTAATGCCTTCACGTCATTTATCTGTTGTCTGGCTCCCGGTGCATGGAAACCTTAAGCGGGGGAGAGCGTGTTTTCCTTTTGAGTGAGCGAGCTCCATCTTAGATTTGATGGAAAACGTTTGCCTAAAGAGTAAGGGTGACGCCAAAAGACAAGTGGGAGGAGAAGAGGAAAAAGTTATTATTCTTTTCCCTACTACCACCCCCCTCCCCTTACCCCGCCCTAGCTCACTGACTCCTGCCAACCCCTTAAGTTTTGTTACTCAAGATACTTCACGATAGCGGCAGATCATACGAATACACAAACACCTAAAATTATCCAGCAGTCGACGTCACCCACTAAAAACACTCGCATTCAGGCCAGGTGCAGGGATAGAAGTACTTCTGGACAAGATATTACATCAGCAACACACTTGTGATTACTGTTATCACATTTAGAGCGGTTTTGAAAGGTTTAGAGCGGTGTCGAAAGTAATTAGGTAATTACTTCGGTTTTTGTTTTGGTTTTACTACGGTTTGAGATTGGCTGAATAGTCTAATTGGTAAGTAATTGGTTTGGTTTTGGTTTTACGACACTCAATTGAAAACCGCTCTATACAACCAAGCACAGTGGTTTCACTCCTGTAGCCCTGATCAAAATTCAAACTGCCTTCACTTGTTTTCATACTTGTACTTCAGTACTTATTGGGATAATTTGAACATACTTTTCGCTGTGATCATTTTCTCTCTTCTCATAACCTACTTCATTGGCTTTGTGTTGTTATTATAAAGAGAAATCAAAGGTTGATCAATATTGGCTGACCTGTGACTGTAAGTCAGTTGTTACTATCTGAGGTGTATCCACTCCAATCCACACTGACATCACCGATAAGTCAACAACCACCAGGAATAACATAACGCCAAGAAGCTCCTTGTTCTTGAATGTCTAAACAAACAAGTATTCTTATTACTACAGTTGACAAAGTTCTAAGAAAATTATTCAAGGACAATTATAATTTAGCCCCGTCCACTACAGGCCGGAGGAATTTAAAAATGCAATAATCACCGGCCATTTTGGATTTGTGTTTGAGGAAAACTCGGTCAGGGAAATCACATGATTATCGTGACGCCATCGTTTCCTAAAACCTCCGTGTTCAAAATGTTTTCCGTCCACACGAAAACGCAAAGCCGGCGTTTTCAAATTCCTCCGTTTTATAGAGCGTTTTCGAGAAGGTTCATTTTCGTGACAGATTAGTGTGGACGATAAGCCTAACCGTAAAAATAAAGCTGCGTTTTCAAATTCCTCCGATAATATTTGTCTTCCGTTAAAATCCTGCCTTCGGCTGCTATGTTCTGCTTCATACTTTTCTGCTGTGTTACACACCATTGTTAGGACAAGAGTTAGACAGAATCACCAAACAGAAAGTAACTTTGCGAGTGGCTGGAAACAAGAAAGAGAGTTGTGCTTTACGATACAATCGAGGGTAATACCTTTTGTTTGGGTTTAACGTTGTTGAAGATTTGATATACTCTCCACATCTTTGAAAACATTCCCCCAACCGCTAAACTGTAGCCAATAGACAGGAGAAAACCTCTGGCCTAAAATGAAATACCATCATTAAGCATGCCTCTTTATGCGTTCGCTGAACTATTCGTTATGGCGGAAAATTAAAATCAGAGAATAAACTAATCAAAATCAAATGGTATGCAATCTCTGTCAAGCGCAGGAAAAATAGCGCGCGCCAAATCACTCGGCATCTGATTGGACGAGAAGACAACGAACATCTTGGCTAGAACACGTTGTAGGAATTTTACTAGCTATTTAGCGAGCTCAACTGCGAGCTCGGGTTAGTCAAGAATAAAGAAAACAGGGAAACACTAAAACACTGACAATGTGAATTCACTAGCTTACCGTCAAAACTACGCCATGTGACACACGTAGTAAAAAAAATAAATCAGATTGGAAAACAACTTCCAATTCCCGATATATAACATCACTGAAAGTGGAAACAAACGGCCGCAAGCGTGATTTCTTAGATTATTACGAATTAAGAGAGTTTTTTTGAGAACCCGAGGATCGAGTAAATATAGTCGTTATTGATCAAACATTCTCTTGATTTTTTTTCCAAGAGGTCACTGAACAAGCCATTTTCGACAGTAAGGCAGTAGCTATAAAAAGACGTCCCGTTTCCTTATGGCGAAAAGTTGAGCTGACTGCTTTCGGATTTATGTAATCTGTAAAACACCAAAGACCGTGTTTAACGACATTTTCAAACACCGAGAAAACAGTTGAAAATTATACGACGCGCAGTGGAGTATTTTTTAACGAATTTTGAGGTGTTTGGAAATGTGGTCAAACACTGTCTTGAGTGTTTGATTTATATTTTCAATCGAAACTAAAACTAAGGAGAAAACGGAGAAATGTATGCTTGAGAAGCATATGTAGTTATTAAGTCTAAATTGTTTGAAGGCAAATGTTCTCAGTAAACTTACCATACATAGTCCTGCAAGTGAACTTTCATACACTCGTTTGCCGTCAATGGCGACCATGTATACAGATACGTAGATGAAGACACAGCCTAGAATAATCAGGTTATTGCAGTTTGGACATGATAGCTTGATATAGCTGAAAAGAACGGGAATAGAAGAGTACTTACATCATAATCGAGCGAACAAGATGTCAACTAGAACACAAGAAATCAACAACACAATGGCTTGATTTAGCTAAATGGATTATAAAATGAACGAACTGACGAACTTGAAACTCGGAGATCCAATTTCATTTCTTTTATACCATGAAAACCTAATCTGCAAATTACATCACGTAAAAGGATTGACTCTTTTTTATAACAAAACATTTCTCTTCTTCCGCAATAGCAGAACCATTGGTGTCTTTACCAGATAACGGTATCTCTTGACGGTGTGCACATTATTTGCAAAAAAAGTTCGGACAGAAAAAGTGTCCGAAAATATAACCGTCCAAAATTTTTAAGCCTCCGAAATTTTAAGCGTCCGTGTTATTCACAGCACAGCATGATTTAAGTAGCTCCAAACTTCTTGAGGGTGTAGTAAAACTATCATTCTCACAGATGTTGTTTCAGTCCACTTGGTGTTTTGTAGGCGTAAATTTTTGTCCGAAAGTTGTCCCAAATGATGAAAAGTGTCCGAAAATTAACGTCCGAAATGTTTTGCAATTAATGTATTTCAGGGGATGGGGAGCAGTCTCACCTGTGCTCTCGCCGCACAATGTTGAATCTTAAGAAGTACAGCGCTAGGAGAATGCCACCGCTGGCCAAAACAACGATGACCCAAAACAACGGCGTAGAAATGTACTGCATCTCATATATAGTAACTTTGCCATCTGTAGGGGGCGCGCCCCCTTAAAATGAGAAAAAGGAAGAAAAATAAGTGGACGTACAATGTTAGTGATTGTAATGTCCATCTTTCCATCTTGGAGAATAGATGCAACTTGGCAAAACGCTGGGAGAGGGGAGGGTAATCTGCACTGGATTAGCATCCCATCCAGGGGGGGGTAGAAATACTGCTAGTTGCTTCATGCTACAGAAACCGGGATAAGCTCCGGCCTGATGGGCCACTTGGCCTGTGTGCATACTTAACCTTACCT